CCCGGGAGACGTGGTCGTAGGGTCAGGAGAGCAGCCACAAACCACCCACACACGCCCCGGTTGAAATTTCGGTCGTAGAGGAGTTGTGGCTGGATGTGGCTGGGCCCCGGTGCGATAGGCAACCCAGGAGACGAGGTCGTAGGGTCAGGAGACCAGCCATAGATCACCCACACACACCTCGGTTGAAATTTCGGTCGCGGAGGAGTTGTGGCGAGTTGTGGCTGGGCCCTGGTGAGATAGGCAACCCGGGGAGACCTGGTCGTAGGGTCGAGGGGCCACCCGGGGGGACCCCTTGGGGCCTTGGGGTTATGTGAGTAGCCGTAGCACCATTGTGGCGCTTTGTGGCTGGCTTTCTGGAAGGTCGGGCATCTATAGTCGATCCGGTATAAGCTGTTTTCCGGGGCCCCTTTTGTGGCCGCAAAGTTGTGGCCACAAACATGCTCGTCACTCATACGTTGGACCCGGCCTCAGCTACACCTGAGAGCCGACCCCAACCTGGGAGTGAGATCGACGTTACTAGTGTATTGTGTGAACTGGTTGTATGTTGACTGCATGTATGTACTCGAGTGAGTCCTACAATAAAGACTATTCTGCTACATATTTGGATTTCCATCGTGTATGCCACCCCTCACTGCTCGGACACAACAAGTATGGACCCATAACAGACTCGATGCTGCATGACAGGATCATCTGGGGAGTTTATGACAAAAAATTGAGAGAAAATATCAGGAGCAAGGCTAAGCTACCCTTGGATGATATTGTGGACATTTGTAAGGCAGTTGAGGCTACTGCAAAGTATCCAAGGACTGAGGACGGTGAAGGAATCCTCACAGTTGACACAGTTCAACATGTTGCTAAAAAATTTAAGAAAAATCACCAAGGAAAAAATGGTAAAAGTGGTGGATCACTGCACCAAACCAAGAGCACAAACCCATGGCGGAAACATGGAAATAAGACTTACCAGAAAGGGGGACCAAAAAAATCAAATAAGTTCGCCTACTTGTGTCGGAAGTGTGACAAGACACATGGGGCAGGAAACTGCCCAGCGTGGGGAACTAACTGCACAAAATGCAATGGTAGAAATCACTTCGCTGCAGTTTGCAAGTCGAGGAAAGGGTTCAATCCGAACAAGCCTCAGAAAGATGTAGACAGCTTGTCTAAAGTCACTAATGAGTTGAGAGACATTCTGATTAATCCACGCTGGCAGAATGAGTTTCAACAGGTGAGTGTACATATGTTAACAATTGTGCATGACAATAATAAAAAAATTATTTTAAGTGGTGAGAGTACTCAGCCTAGAGATGAATATACTGAAGTGTTAAAACTTCAAAATGAACATTTCATCAAGTTCAAATTGGATTCAGGTTCAGAGGTCAACTCACTCCCACTAGCAGTATTCAAAATGATAAATAGAAATTATCCTGTTTACAAAACGGATATTATTCTAAAAGCCTATGGCAAAGTCCTGAGTACACCTGTGGGTGAGGTAAGACTTCTGGTAGAGACACCACATGGGGATAAAATGATGTGTAAATTTATCATTTCTAGCATTGAACCTAAGCCTTTGCTTGGGAAGGATGCCTGTGAAAAACTAAATCTGGTTGTTAGGGTGAAACATCCCATCAAAAATGTACAAAATATGGAAGCCTATTCCATACAACTTCCAGATTCAAAAAATGATTTTGTAAAAAAATATTTCAAGCTGTTCACAGGTATGGGAGAGTTCCAGCAAAAAGTGGAAATAATGCTAGACCCTACCTTCCAACCTGTAATGTGCCCGGCAAGGAGATATCATTTCTCTATAATTCAGCGGTTAAAAACCAAACTGGATGACTTGGAAAGGGATGGCATTGTTGCTAAAGTTACTAATGAAATTCCCAAGTTTGTCAGTAATATGGTGATTCGTGAAAAAAGCAATGGAGATCTAAGAATCTGTCTTGACCCGGAACAGTTAAACAAAGCAATTCAACGCTCAAGGTATGCGATTCCAACTTTTGATGAATTGTCTTACAAAGTGAGAGATCAAGAAATCTTCACAGTGCTTGATCTAAAGTGGGGTTTTTGGCATGCTACGCTAGATGAAAAATCTAGCATGTTGTGCACATTCTCCACTCCGCATGGCCTTTACAGATTCCTGAAAATGCCTTTTGGTCTGTGCAGTGCACCTGAGACATTCCAGTTTTTAACTGAACAAGCATTTCGGGGTACTGACGCCATAATTTACTTTGATGACTGTTTAATCACAGGAAAAAATTATGCTGAGCATGACTATAAGCTTGCAAAATTTATGGAGAAGGCAAATGAGCAAAATATTAGATTTAATATTGATAAGTTGCAATACCGTAGAAAGGAGGTAAAATTCTTGGGACAACTCTTGTCAAAAAATGCAACAAAAGTAGATCCTGAAAGGGTAAAAGCAATAAGTGCCATAAATGAACCCAAAACAAAGAAGCAGCTGCAAAAATGCTTGGGAACATTTAATTATGTGAGAAAGTTTTTACCTCAAATGGCTACAATTGCTGCACCCCTGTACCAATTACTTTCTAGTAAAGTTAACTTTCAATGGTTACCTGCACAAGCTCAAGCTTTCAAAGCTTTGAAAGAAGCATTAACTACAGCTCCAGTTCTTGCTACTTTTGATAGCTCCAAGCCTATAGTAATTCAGGCCGATGCAAGCCAATTTGGACTGGGATGCTGTCTGCTGCAAAATAAACAGCCTGTAGCATTAGATTCCAGGATCCTAACTGAGACAGAAAGAAATTATGCTCAAATAGAAAAAGAAATGTTAGCTTTAACATTTGCTGCCCAAAAATTTGAGAAATATATTTGGGGCATGCCAAATGTGCTATTTCAAACAGATCATCAACCTTTGGTATCCATTTTTAAAAAACCAATTTTCAAAATAACAAACAACAGGTTGAAAAAGATGAGAATTAAATTGCTCCGATTCCAACCTAACGTTGAATATTTGCCAGGAAAACACATGCATATTGCTGATCTGCTTTCTCGAAATTGCCTGAATGATCCTGTTCAGGATGATCCAGAAATGGTTGAAGTTGTGCATGAGGTGACAAAGTATTTACCTCTGAGTCCTGACTTGCGTCAAGAGCTTGCACAACAAACAGACAGTGATGTTGGGTTAACTGCTGTCAAGCAGTACTACAAAAATGGGTGGCCTAATACCCGACAACAAACTGTTGTCGAGGCAAGGCCATACTGGCAAGTGAGGAACGATCTATTTGTAGAGGATACTTTTGTAGTCCTCACAGATAGGATTGTTGTGCCACTCTCACTCAGAAAAATGGTACTAAAAAGACTCCATACTGCACATCTGGGCATAGAAAAGACCAAGGCCAGAGCTAGACAATCAGTTTATTGGCCAGGCATGTCAAATGACATTGCCACAATGACCAAAGAGTGTCGGGCGTGTGAACGTCATAGTGCCAGGAACTATCACGAGCCTTTAATTCCACATGAAATTCCGTCCCTTAGGTTTCAAAAAATTGGTCTTGACATACTGGAGTTGAACTCAAAATGTTACCTTGTGGTTGAAGACTATTTGTCTAAATGGCTTGAGATAAAGCCACTGACAAGTAAAAACAGCAAAGCTGTCATAGATCAGCTGCGTTTAATCTTCTGCACACATGGTATTCCTGAAATCATATTTGGAGACAATAATCCACTGAACTCCCAAGAATGTCATGAATTTGCAACCAGTATGGGAAGTAAAATTGTCACCAGTTCCCCAGAATACTCTTGCAGTAATGGACTTGCTGAAAAAGGAGTTCACATTGCCAAGCAAATGCTTAAAAAATGCAATGATGACAAGACGCATTATCTAGATGCATTGCGGGAATACAACAACACTCCATTAAGTGGAATGGATGTGTCGCCTGCAGAAATTCTAATGAGTAGGAAGGTAAGAACTGTTGTTCCAACACTAAAAAGAAAACTGGAACCCAAAATAGTTCTAATTAAACCAATCCTAAAGCGTCTTCAAGAAAAACTGAAGCTCAGGTATGATCAACGTGCTCGCCGCAAACCTATCCAGTTCAAGGAAGGTGATGCTGTAACAGTCCTGAGAGGGAAAAAATGGCATAAGGGTAAAATTTTTACAAAGCATCCTGCTGACAGGAGTTATGTTGTTGAGCTGTTAGGGGGAGGTACATTGAGGCGTAATACTTTCTTTATAAGACCTTCAATTACTGAACCTGATAGAGTGGACTCTAGTGCTGGTACTAATCACCAAATTGATATAGAATCAATACTTGTCAACCTGAGGGCTGGACAAAATAGTAAACCACCTGCTCGACCTAACCCTCCTAACCCTTGTCCTCCTCTCTTCACAGATGCAAACCGATCAAGGTCTGGGAGACGTTTGAGGAAGTCAGCAAGACTGACAGATGACAACTTTCAATATTAATAATTTCCAATATAAACATTTATTGAACTGGAAATTAATATTAACTGTATTCAATATTAATTATTCCAATATTACCGTATATTGAACTGAAAATTAATATTATGTTTCCAAAATAAAAATGTATTCAACTACTACTTCTATAGCAGAAGACCTGTTGATTACTGTTGTTCTTTTCCTCATTCCAATCATACCAACAGGAAACTAACCTCGATGAATATAATTTCATCCTAAAGGGGGAGGTGTTGTGAGTCAGACTAGTTGGTATGCCTGCTCACAATGCACCACTGTAAAGTGGGCCACAGAATAGAATCGACCTTAACAGTGATTGGTCACTACGTCGTCTGTCACTTGTTACCACACCCTGTACAACTGGTATACAGATAATAAATCCTCTCTCTCTCGAGTATTCCCTACTATGTTTACGCCGTAGAACGCTGGCCCGGGCCAGCGCTAGCCCGGGCTGGCGGCGGTGCGTTTACCCCGTGTGGGCCAGCTGATGAAAAAGAGCGCGGTTTTCAAATCTCGACGATCAAACCAAGTATTTTAGGGTAAAATACTTCTCCCGGTTCACGGTTTGCAAATCAGCGGGTGTAGAATATTTAACTCTTTACTACTCACATCATTTATCTATAGGATATAAGTGATAGCAACAATTTTTGAAATATTTACAGTATCTTAGATATATCAAGGTATATTGAAGAGGATAGTGAGAATTGAAGCTCTGGGTCGAATAGGGGAATTATTTCCTGTTGGGGTACGAAAGCCACACCGAAATGCCAAGTGCAATACACAAATATCGGGTATTTTAAAAGTCCAGCCGGAGATAGCCCGGGCGAAACGCGTTTACTCCGGGGCTAGACCAAGCAGAGCGGTGGAGGGGGGAAGGCTAGCGCGTGCTAGCGAGCGGCTGGCCAGCGCTGGCCGCGCGCCGTTTACGCCGGGGCCAACTTCCCCCACCACCGACATAGCACGGGCTAGCCTCCGCGGTGTAAACATAGTACCTGTTCAAGTGTGTGTCACTCTCATTCCATGCAGAGGTTGACGACCTCGGTCCACGTTGTCAAACGGCTGATTTCGCGTCGGCACGTGATCCAGTACTTCACGCGGCACCGCTGATTCTTCTGGTAAAGCCCAATAAAAATGTTTGATCTGTCCGTCGATAGTCCGATCGCGGTGTTTCAAAATGTCCAGCACGAGCGAAGTCTTACCGCTTTTACTGGCCCCCACGAGAGAGCAGGTAAAAGGATGTTTAAACTTCACGTCGCTCGGTAAGCCTCTCTCCCTCTCTCCGATGGTCTCTCTCCGTTGTCGCTCGCCGCTGGGGTCGGACACATATAGTAACTCAGCACACCATGTCGCCGAATCGCATACATGAACGCATAGAGAACGCTTGTGCCTAGGACGCCGAGGGGGGTGGGCTAGGCAATCTTCCGGTCTATCACGTTGCGATTTCGACCGTAAGCTCGTGGGTTGCGACGGTTCCGTTCAGCTGTTCTTGCAGTTCACAGCGTTGCCAGATTTGGCTGGACGCCCTGGAGGCTCGCGCGCACTAACCTATCACTCTATTGTTGTCTTTTGTTTGGGTGAATGTCGGTGAAAATTCGAAACGTCACCTCATTCTCTGCGCCAGCGGTGAGCGATCTTGTGTCTATTGGTCAAGAAAGCGGTCCATCACAGCCAAACGGCCGCCGAGCGCGAATCTGGCAACGCTGTGAACTGCAAGAACAGCTGAACGAGAACCGTCGCAACGTCGCTGCCGCAATTCCTCCCCGCATGCATACCCGGAGTCGGTTCGGTGACGGTTGTCCGGTTGTCCCAATCTCTACCAACAAGGTCTACCAAATTGGACATTATAGCGGTTGCTTGAAGATTTTGCAATGGCTGCTGATCAAGCTGCATTTTCAGTGCAGGTTTGGGGACTTTGATTTGAATAAATACTCATTTACACCAAGAACAACTTTTACATTTCAATCTCCTTTAGGGGGCTGTACCATAGTACTAATTCTAAGGTTATGTCATCAAAACATAACCAAAGCACTTGATTAAGTGTATGGGATAATCTTGATTTCCTTATTACGTAGTTCTAAAAGTATTTATATCTTCATCATTTCTTCATTCGTTGTAAATCTTGCGAATTTTTGGCTGGTTTCCTGTAGGCGTACCGATTAAAATGCGAATTGTTTCATACCCTCACCAGAGTACCTCACATTATACAATTTTGCTCTCTTCGCCTCATATAATTGAAATCTTGCATAGTTCACCTTTGTCATTTTCTTTCCCAGTCTCCATGGAGCCCAGGGTCCTTGCCCAACTCCATGTCCAGCTCTGTACCTAGCTCCCCTTTTTGTATGTCTAGCCCATTGCGAGGCCCAGGGCCCTTGACCATCCCTAGCACTCCTCCCGCTCCTCCCTCTCCAAGCTCTAGCCTCTTGAGTAGAATGAACTTTAGCTTGAGCTTGGACCAGCACAGGACCCAATGCTTAAATGGAGGCGGTGAGTAGACTTTTGTCATCTACTTATGTGCTATGGCTCTGTATCTAAATTAAGTTTGCTTGGTTTCTGCAGCTGATTGTGATGCTACTTGCACATGGAGTAAAACTCTACCTCCCAAGTCCTTTGAGGTGCCCAGCTTTTCAGTCAAGGTGAATCCTAAAGTTGATTCCTCATTTCATCATTTTGCCTTCAATTCATATTTTGCTTGTGTTTTTCTCCAGTCTGCATAAATTAAATCCTTTCTATTGATTGATGCTTTAGGTTTTTCTTGGAGGAGTTCCTTGGGACATAACTGAACCCATGCTTGCACATGAACTTAGACAGTTTGGAATGGTCCGTGTGGAACGGACTGTTAGCAAACAGCCTGGTCTGCCTCCGCCTAAAGGGTACGCGTACATCATCATGGGGTGTGAAAAGCAGGTAATTATCAAACTGTCAAACATTCAAATTTTTGTTCTGCAACTGTAAGTGAAACTTGTTTTATAATTTTTATTGCTTACTTTTTAGGTTGTAGCATTGCTTAAGTCTTGTCGATTCAACTGTGGAGGAGGGAGCTGGTACTTCAAAATGTCATCTAAGACGATGAAAGCTAAAGATGTTCAAGTCATTCCTTGGATGACAAGTGACTCAAATTGGGTATGCAGCCCCCGTCAAAAACTGGACCCAGAAAAGACTGTCTTTGTTGGTGGTTTACATGGCACGTGGAGTGCAAGTGTGTTGGCTACAGTTATGAATAATCTATTTGATGGTGTTGTGTTTGTAGGTCAGTTACATAATATATTTAATCTTCTATTTTTATCTGATAGCTTTTATTAGATTTGCTGTTCAACATTATGAGAGTATTGTTTTGAATGTCTTTTTGCAGGAATTTTCACTGACAAATTTAAGTATCCAATTGGATCTGCTCGAGTGACATTCAACAACAAACAATCTTTCTCCAAAGCTATTAATTCCCGCTTTGTCACAATCAAAATAAACCAGTTTGCTAAGGAAGTGGAGCTTCTCCCTTATCTTCAAGACTCTCCATGCGTTGTGTGTATGGTTAAGCTTGGCCCATACTTCTGTAGAGAATCACCATGTTTTGGGTATTTCTGCCGTTCCTGCTGGCAATGCTTCCATGCTCAGGGGAAGCGTGCATCTCACAAACATCTGACACGCTCCACCAAGAGTGTTCTGTCGTAGACGTGCCTGCAGTGACCTCAATAGATTGCCTTTGTACATGGTCTGCAGCCATTTCATGTGAAATTTTGTTTTTGTTTTTGAAAGTTTTCATTAATTATCATTCTACAGATGGTGCCTGTATTGTATAATCCTAGAAGAATTTTAAGTCTGTCAGTAATTTTATGACTATGTCCGACCTTGTTTCTTTTTATTCCATCACATCATTGCTTTTGCAGCCTTGCAGTGTTAGACAAAATCTCTTTTAGTAGGTTTTCCTTTTCAGTTTTACTTGACAAAGCTGGTTTCTTAAATATAACTTTACCTCAGTGAAGCTACGAAAAGGTTAATATCAAGTAGAATTTATTTTCTAATTTTAAGATGTGTGAATCATGGGAAATCCTTTGGCAGCGAACAGTTTGAAGCTTGCTGTGTTTTAAGCGTACTTTGTTTACCTTTTCTTTTTGTTTTCTGTTTTTATATCTAAGGGAAGTGTCAAATTCCTTACTGGCATTAACTTTTTCTCATGTCTGTCGGGTAAGTGTTACCAAAAAATCAAGCAAACGTAATTGTGAGAATTTGTCATATCTTTTTATTATTGTTTATTATTATTTTAAATAGAACAAAAGATAATTTTGCTTTGATAAATGTCTATAATCATGTTTTCAAGAAATCTTTTTTGTTTATTGGACGTTTATTCTATTTTTATTTACAACTTTAGAATGTCATCTAGCCAAACAACCACTTCGTCCATTCCCAAGGAGGAATTTGAGCACTGACTGTCAGCAGGACGTCAAAATAGTCTCCTATTTTGACGTCTTCCATGACTCTTATTGATGTCAGTTTGATCCTGATTTGACATTCTGAGTCAATTCAGTGCCACAATGACGTCAATAAGAGTCATGGAAGACGTCAAAATGGTCCCTCATTTTGACATGCCGACAGTCAGTGCTCAAATTCCTCCTTGAGTACCTGCTAACTAATCACACATTACTCTCTGAAAGTATTCCTGGTGCTGCGTTAAGCCCATATGCAAGCCCGTGTGCAGGAAAGTAAATGAAAAGCTGACCACTGACCCCAAGATAACATAGCAACAGATCTGGGTAGCCCAAAAAGAGGAATCAAAAACACACCTTGCGAGTGACAGCTACTTGAACAGAAGCACAAATAAATTTTGATGAGCTAAGAACTGCTTCATAGATTGGACTAAGTTTCTAATACAAACTTTCGAAAGCAGCTAAAGCATATGAAATTGATAATTTTCCAAATTCAGGACCTACAGAAAGGCTTTGTTAAATCATTCCTTTTGTTAGTTTCTTTACTTTCTTCTTTGGAAGATACGTGGGCTATAATTTGAACTGGCCGAAGTGATTGGTAGATAGGTTTATTGAAATTAGACTTACAGGCTAGAAACACATTCACACAAAGGCGTGCACAAACACCGGTAGAATAAAGGCTTGACTTGACTACAACACAGACTTCTCCACGACAGTTCTACACTCAGACCTCAGACTAACCAGCAGGAAGATCACATTGCAGTTTTGTCGTGGTGAACAGGCGCCGCGCGCCTGTCTAAACGGTTCTTCGTTTCGCTGTTCCTGCCGTTGGCAACGTTGCCAACGGCAGGAACAGTGTATAGTGAACACGTGACGCACCCGAAGGCCCTCTAGGCCAATCAGAAAGCCCCAAAGTCGACTTCGGGTAAAATCCCGAAGACTAAAGTAACAGTGGGACGACTATAACAGCGGAACGAAGAACCAACCGTTTAGACACGGTGCGTTCCGTTTTACGCTTCCACCGCTCCGAGCGCTCCCACCGCTCCAGCCGTTCCGTTTTTGTGGGAGCACGGGAGGACGATTCATTTCGGAACGGTCAGGAGCGTTGCTTGGCGCGCTCGACTGCTACGTTTGAAATTTGGAATTATTGAACAACTTGTTTATTGAGGGATTATGATACCGATGTTTCGCTCGCTCTTATTCGGGAAATATTCCCAATCGACAGGGTTTCGTCAAAAGGACATATCATTAGATGTCAAAGTCAAGATTTGGTAATTTTAGTGGCCCGTATTGATATCATTTGATGTCATTTGACGTCAGAATCACAGTGAAACGGGCCAACCAAAATGACCAAATCTGGACTTTGACAAAATATGTCATTTTGACAAAATCCTGTCAATTGGGTTGTTTTCAAGCAGTAGGGACGAAGAGATGTCACCCTTTCTTGGCATTACATAAACCTGTTATTTACCGCCAATAAGGTGACACAATAAACCCTTTTAGGCGACAAATAATTTGTTTCCAATAAAGGCAAAACATGTTACATTTTAAAAGTGGCATATAAGCTTGTCATCACAAAGGTAACACATTTCGCCTTATCCCATGGGTCGCCTCAAACAATTAAGCGCCTCAATTGCTACTAAGCCAACGGAAGTTAGGGGTTTAAAAATAAAAAAGAGGGTATATTTTTTATCAATAAGGAAATAACCATTGATTTCAAGAGATGATTCCAACCGTATAAAATAACTCAATAATTATTAGTCAACTGCTGTTCTAGTCTAGTTTTGCCATAATTTTTAAGGCGATAAATTTGTTGCTTTCGATTAAGCAATCAAGCCGCAAGTCAACGGAAATATAATTTATATGTGTCATTGGTTAACGCTTTTTATTTTTTATAAGAAGTAAACTTTTACGATTTATTAAGGCTTTCTATAAATAATGGTTCAGATGATATTAGTTTTAATAATTCTTGTTGTTGTTTCCTGGCAACAAATTTGTCGCTTTATATTTAGACAACTTACGCCTTTTAATGTACAGATAGATAGCCGAAGCAATTTTCGAAAGAAGAGGACCACATGAATTAAGTCCTCGAATAGAAAACTGTGGAGAGAGCAGTCCCTCGATATTCTGACGAAGAATTCAAATTTTCCCGCACAAATCTCGGACCGCTCCAGCCGCCCCACCTCGGGGAGGTGGGTCGGCTGGAGCGGTCGGGAGCGCTCAGCGGTGACGTCATATGCCGCTGCGGCAGCGCTGGGAGCGTATTTCGGAACGGAATGGGAGCGCTCGGAGCGGTGTTCACCACGACAAAACTGCAATGTGATCTTCCTGCAGGCTTCTTGGCGGGAACCGGGAACCCGCGGGAACCACAGGGTTATGACCAAAACAAAACAGTGCTACCAACTAGCATTTGTTAACAGCCATTTAGACTAACACAAAAAATAGACAGTTCTAACACTTCCCCTTTAGGATAACATATCCCCCCCCTATAAGTCTCCTGCAGGCGGTTACCACGAGTGCTTTCCATTCGCGTTCGGCTCAGTTAACCCACGGTCGACCGTAGTTTACGTTGGTGCTTTTCTTTCGCTAGCGCCGCAGCAGCACGCAGCAGCGCATACGAGAAGGCTTCGCCTAGCAGACTACCGTTCTGATTTGTTTGACATCACCTGAAAGTCCCGAGTTGAAATGCGAATTTCTCTAATTGTCGGCTTTTGCAGTATATTTTCGTTCTTTTATAAGTTGCCGAACGAAGAAGTTACAATCTGAATCCTGTATATTTTTGTGGTATGTTTTGCATTCTTTTGATGTCATGTACAACAAACTTGAAATCGTATGAGGGGTTAAGAGTTTATTGCTAAAATTATAAAATACTGAGTTTCTGGCTTTCTTTTCAGATGGACTTTGACCGGAATGACATTATGGAGAATGCGGGAGACCGTGGAGCCTTACAATTCCTCATGTCCGACAGCAGTAGTAGCAGCAGTTCTGATAGCAGCTCAGCTTCAAGTGGTTCCGATAACTTTGAGCTTTTTGATTCTAGTAATGCATCAGAGGAAGAGAATGAAGATGAGGAAATGGTTCAGATGTTTGCAGCTTATGAAGAGGTTTTGTTTGGTGCCCCTCAAGCAAGAGTTGAACAGTATCTTGAAGTTGTTCGTGAGAAAACTGATGAACAATTTCGAAAACACTTCAGACTTCATCGCCATGTGGCTTATGAGCTGATCGGTAAGTTGTTGTGAATTAGAGAGCAGTGTGGTGCTATTGTATGTATAGTACTTATTGCCTTATGTTCTGTAGATGAGCTGGATGCCAGTGGGTTCATCCCTAACCACCCTGGAGGAAAGGAGAAGAAAAGCGCAGAGCTAAGTTTCTTGATGTTTCTCTGGTTTGTGAGCAAAGACTCTACTCACATAGATGCTGCCGAAATGTTTGGATGTGGTGAAACAACAGTTTTCAGAATTGTGAGAAGAGTTACAGAATGGATTCTAACTATTATGCCTGAGCATGTCATTTGGCCCCAGGGCCCAAATATCCAACAAACTGAGGAGGAATTTTTCCTTAAAGCACAAGTTCCCAAGTGTATTGGCGCTATTGATGGTTCTCACATTGGTATTGAAAGACCTGAGTTCTACGGTGCAGTTTATTGGTGCCGCAAGGAAAAGTATTCTATTCTTCTACAGGCTGTTGTGGATGCTCGTATGTTGTTCACAAATCTGCATTGTGGAGATCCTGGTTCTTACCATGACATACGAATGTTACGAAGATCAGAACTGTACGCAGCAGCAGAGCGTCAGCTTGGGGATCTTTTCCCTGATAAAACTTTCCTTTTGGGGGACAAAGGATATGTTGGTGTGGGTAAGAAATGGATTGTCACACCTTTCAAGGACTACGGCAATCTTTCAGCAGAGCAGTCAGATTTCAATACACGAGTTTCGGTAACTCGTGTTCTTGTAGAACAAGCCTTTGGTATCTTAAAGGCTCGTTTCAGGTATTTAAGATGTACTATGAGACTGAGGGATGTTCATTTTGCTGCCAGATTAGTTGTAGCTTGCTGTGTGTTGCACAATATATGTATAAGGAGTCAAGATTTAGGACAAGACTTAAGAGACGAAGAGGAAGATAGTGATGATGAAAATGATAATGATGATGGAAATGAAGGCCCTGATTCTGACAGTAGTGATAGTGATGATGATAATGAAGAGGGTAATCGAACACTTGCTGTCTTCAAGAAAATGTATCCGAGGGCCCCTGACCCTGCTAATAGGCGTAGGTGTGCAGTTAATGCAGACAACTGACTCCATTTGTGCTTGAAAAAGGCCATTTTTAAGAGTTATGAATGTGATGCTTTATCAGTATTAATTGGTGTATTCGAATAGCATTATTTTAGGAGACCTTTCTTGCTGCTAATGGCTATTTCTTTACTTCATTTGTATGTCAATTGTATTAGTGTCAGTGACACAAAATATAAAAATCAATCAATTACTTTTGGTGTGGCTGTTTATTAAATTACTAACTATTTAAAAAAACAAACCAATTAAACTTTAGAATACATGAAGTAGTGGCGCAGTCAAAATACTGACACTTAACAACTAAAATATAAAAAGAAAACAGGAAATAAATGATGGGGTATCACAGTGTTCAGTCTTAAAGGAACATACAGTAACAACAGACCCGTGTGATGAGGATTGCCACTGCATGTTCCGTTAAGACTGAACATGAAGGACATCCACGTCACTTGGGTTCTGATATGGTAGAATTTAAGATTAAATAAAATATGTACATGTGGTGCTGTAAAGGAGGAGGGACTACAAATACTAAAACTTAATTAAAATATAGGAAGAAAACAGGAAACAAATAATGGGGTATCACAGTGTTCAGTCTTAAAGGAACATACAGTAATTTCACAAACTCGTGTGATGAGGATCGTCACTGCATGTTCCTTTAAGTCTGAACATGAACGACATCCTCGTCACTTGGGTTGTGATGATACATCTCTTTCATCAGATTAAGTAACATATAAACATTTGGCACTGTAAAGGAGGAGGGACAGCTGACTTAAAGTACAAACACTTAACTAAAATAGAGAAAGAAAACAGGGAACAAACGATGGGGTATCACAGTGCTCAGTCTTAAAGGAACATACAGTAACAACACAGTAATTTCACAAACCCATGTGATGAGGATTGTCACTGCATGTTCCTTTCAGACTGAACATGAAAGACATCCAAATCACTTGGGTTGTGATGATACATCACATTTATCAGATTAAGTAACATATAAACATAAACTATGGAAACATCACAGTTGAGTTCACATTCATTCTTTGGGCATGCATCATTTTTATTTTTTCTTCTTCTAAATCTATTTTCTTCCGCATGAGTTCCAATTTCTTTCTTAAATTTGCCTCCTTATCGGCATGCTTCAGTTTCTTAAATTCTAACTTCGACTTCTCCAGGGCATGTTTCTGTTGTTGGATCAATTTGTAATCTTCTGCTATAGCAATCTTTTTGCTCTCATAGAGTGATCTTTCAGCCTTCCGCTTCTCGGCTCCTGCGAGGAAGGTGCACCACATTTGTGAAAGGTTTGCTCTATTGGCTGCCTGATTTGAACCAGTTCCATGGGGCACCTTCCTCTTCTTCTTGTATTGAACCAGAGGAGTTGACGATGACTGTGGTGGTGGTGATGATGGGATTGTGCTGTCCAGAACATCTTGAGAACCAGAAGGAATAGAAGGAATGTAAGAAGAAACATTTGCAATTTCAGATTCTGGAATTTGCTGGGCCTTCCTGGGGTCCATCTTCATATTTTCATCATGGAGGTACTGCTCGGCTGGAGTTAATTTAACGCCCCCACCTCCTGAGGTTCTCTTATTTACAATTTTCATATTTAATTTACCTTTCGTATTGGTATATTTATTTTTGCACTGTATATCGGTTTTCCCAGGGAATTTATCAGCTACTAGTCTCCAAAATTTCACACCACTCACCACACCTGCCCATGACTTCTTCGTCAAAACTACGTCAATGAGCCTTTTGGTCTCGGGTAAAGGCCACAGATCTTGATCTTGATCTTCATTAGGGTCAGAAGGGTCTGACACTGTAGAAGCAGTAGACGAAGACGAGTTGGATGGTGCAATAACTGGAGCAGCTGCAGAAGAGTAGAAGTTTGGAGACGGAGCAGAAGATGGAGAAGTAGAAGTCACTTGAGCAGAAGGTTGAAGAATGCTGTTTGAAGTCCGTGATATAATCTTAAATTTCCCAAGGCTAACAAGTTTATTTAAGTTCTCCTGGGACAGAACAACCTGGACAAACGCAGATTAGAAAATTGAATTAAAAGTTTGAATGAGGCCATTGAGGTTACTTATCTCTCGAATCACAAGTGAAGTCAAATACTAATTGAATATTTTGTCACGAACGCTTACCGTGGACCCTGGGGTATTCATACTTCGCGTAGGATAGGATGAATGTAAGAAAAACTAACAATAATTCCTCTTCATTCACTCTGTTCCACGCTATCTCGTCTACCTCGGCACCTCGATCACGCTTTTTCCCGCCGATTCAATGTTTCTTCTTCCTCATTTCTTCAACGAAATCGCACTTTTAGCCGTCGTAGGGTGTGTAGTCAACTCCGGTTAACCAACCGGAGAATCCATTTTCCTTGCCAATTAGCTTTAAAGCGGTGAAATTCTAAAATTAGACAATCGGAGCAAAGGAGCGTAGAAGCATGGAGTCAGCCACTATACGCGTAAGAAAGTTGTTATAAGTTTTCTTACACCATAACACCACCTGTAAAAGTTAGGTTAGGTTCGCCGAGAACGTAACGATAATGGTAAATCGGACGCCTCAAAAACACCCGTTTTTAGCTTAAATTAAAAAATTCTGAAAAGAAATGGTTTTGCATTTAATCATCAAACTGAGAGCGGGGTAATACGGAACATTGTGAGAAATATGGAACAGGAGGACTCGGAGTCCGATGTGCTTTTCAGTGCGCAAATTTACAATGATTCGGTCGTATAATCGTTTATTTTGAATCGGGAGGCAGCGGTTTGAAATTTGGGTCTATGTAAACATGTTTACGTGAGAAATTGAAGGAAATCAACGTCTTTTGACACACTGAAAAGCACATCGGACTCCGAGTCCCTCGGACTCGGACCTAGTCCGATCCGCTCGGGCCGCCCAAAGTTAATACAATGTTAGTGACAAGATGGTGTTGTCACTTAATTTTCAAATTTTCCTCTTTTTCTTTCATGTGATGGGGACTCTCCTCCTAAGGTCCAAAAATTTTCACGGTCGGGGCGACCCATAAAACCAAAAATTTTTGAAGATGGAGCGATTTTCTGGTCTTGCAAAGTAAGTCGACCATGGCTCTCACCAATTATTAATGTATGATTTGTTCAGTATTTTACTGGTGAAGTCTGGTAGTCACTAGTTCTCTCAACACACTGCCACAGATATAGAGTACTATAGTTCTGACCACTATAAACTTTATTGGCCCGCAGACAATGCAGACATCACCTGAGACAGATGTACGATTAGAAGGCAACTGGACTGTGAATATTGAAAAACTTGACTATGATGCTGATACTGAAAACGGGACCCAGTTTGATGATTCTGTCGATAAGTAAGTTGTTGTATTCATTCATTCATTCTTTTGTTTTTTTCAAAAAATAAATATTAAAGTACCCTAATGAATATTAAAAAAAAAATTACTTACAGCTTAACAAATCCTGAGGCTGCTAATAAAGAAAATAATACAAATTCTCTTAATGATGCTAAAAAGAAGTTGTCTTCAGACAGTATGTACCACTTTGTACAAGAATAGCATTGGCAGAAAAGGTCAAGTAATAATTTTTATTTTATTGAACCATTTAGGTGAGGCTGAGCTGCACAAAGACAAATTACTTACTGGTGAGCTCTCAGATACTGATACGAGCGATGAAGAGGGAAGGTGCGAGAAGATAACAACCTGCTCGAGGTAAGATATTGTTACCTTTGAAAATAGACATGAATAGTAGTCCAGATCACTGATATTGGAGATCTGATATCATATGATATTGGAGATCTGATATCATATAAATGAATTCTACTTTATGGTAGAACATGAAGTACCTATTGATACTTAATTTTGCTCTCAGTTTTGTAGCAATGATGAAATATTTACTCCAAAAACTAGGTAAAGTACCTATTAGCATGCCTCGATGCACTCAGCTTTGCTTATGCAGTGGCTTATTGTGCCAATGTTTCCTTCTGTTGTACCTCCTGTTCCTGTTTTTTGAGTAGGCTTGTTTTTACTGTAATTTTTTTCTAGTTTTGAAAATTTTTATAAGTTCTGTTGGTCAATGAAATAGAGAAAATTAAACTACATAGGATCCAAACCGCAGTTTTTGCATCACTTTATTATAAATGGACATTCCCATGAAGCATGATTGATATATCATTCTATGCCTAGAACTCGCAGGTTGCCACTACATAATAAACCAAAGCAGGCTGGAACTGCATAGTGTCAAACCTTTAGCAATTTTTTTTATTTTATTTTTGGTGGCACTATCTAACAATTATATATGAAATGGGTGACTGTAAGGGACAAATTTTAAGTTATCCTTGGTCACAATGGTTACCTTTAATTATAATCTATTTCAGTTTTACAGCTTTAAACGTTTTGCTTTGTCAACATAACTTAGGTGGATGGCTGCACCATGACTTGCATTGTCTTTTATTGTGTTGCACTCTGTAGCTTAAAAATGACAGTTCTGCATGTGTCTTCTTCCCTTCTTTCAGATTATTTAATTTGGTGAAAGGGTCAACTGTCCACATCTTAATTTCTGTTCTGTAAAACTTGATAAAGATTGACTTTTATCTTTTGAAAAACTAAACCTATAAAGTTTAAAAGAAAACAAAAACAAATCAAATTATATTGTTTTTATGAATTATTTTGGTTGATTTTTTGAACCAGCTTTTCTTCTTTTTTTTCTTTTCTTTCTTTTTCTGTATGATTGTCATATTTTACTTATGAGAATGGTTTATGGCTTCACTATCTATGTAGTTATCCATCACACCATATTTGCTTTTAGGCCAAAAGAGAAGAGGAGAAGAATCAAGGCGGTTAACTCAAGTTCAGATTCTGATGAAGATGCTAAAAACAAAACTGTAAGTGAATTCTCTAATATTTTAGTATTTTATCATGAAATTAAGGATGGACTTAACCTTTTTTTACGAGAAAATTTCTTTCCATTCTAGGTTGATGGTGAAAGTCCTATGAAAGGAAGGAAGAAAATCAAGCACATGTTAAAAGACGAGGAGCTGGAAGAAGGAACCAAAGAAGCTGCAAAAGAGGAGGAAGAACGTCTTAAACGAATTGCTCCTAGGCAAAAAATGGTCTGTTTCCTGTTTGCAGACTTAATTTGTAACGGGCAACGGGCTCACTTTTAATTGTTGTAATGTTTCAATGATTTTCTAATGCATCTTTCCCCTTTTGTTTCAAATCAGTATGAAGAACTCTATGATAATGTTCAAAAAGAATTTGCTGTCTCGGATCAATTAATCCTTGATTTTGATGAAGAAACAAAGGAGCCTCTTGTGGAAGTGAATAAATCTCTTGTGAAGAAATTGAAACTCCATCAGGCAAAAGGTGTAAAGTTCATGTGGGATGCTTGTTTTGAATCCTTGAAAAGAACAAAGGAACAAAGCAACAAAGGATCTGGATGTATTTTAGCTCACTGTATGGGACTGGGAAAAACATTTCAGGTGCGATTTGTTTAATTGTGGGCATGGTAGAAGTTTGGAAGGAAGTATTTCTTCATCAATTAATTTTCTTTCTTCTGTAGGTTGTTACTCTTGTACACACACTATTTAAACATCCAGAAACCAATGTTAACACTGTTCTGGTTGTTTGCCCTGTCAGCACAGTTCTTAATTGGGTAAATGAATTTGATAAGTGGCTTAGTGGAGTTGAGGAGGGACCCAGTATCGGAGTTCATGAATTGACAAGGTATGTGCATCACTTACAGTCGGGTCAAAACATTCTGTACTTATGATAAATTACGTTTTGATTTTGAAGGTGCAAGCAAAATATGGACCGTTCTTATCGGTTGAGAGAATGGAGGGAAGAAGGTGGGGTGATGGTAATTGGATATGATATGTATCGTAATCTTACCAACCCAGATTCAAAACGATTCAGACCCTCTATTATGAAAACATTCCAAGAAAGCCTTGTTGATCCTGGTATGTTTTTACTGCATTTCATGTGTTGTCTTGAATCTGACGAGTTAATGAATTTTTATTTCTACTTAAGGCCCAGATTTGGTTATATGTGATGAAGGACATCTACTGAAAAATGAAGATACTGGTATTTCTAAAGCTATGACTAGAGTTAAGACTCTTCGTCGTGTAATTCTCACTGGTACACCCCTTCAAAATAACTTGAAAGAATGTGAGTTTTGTTGTTGTCGTTTTTTGTGCTGAGAAGTGTCTGTCTTAGCTGTCTATGATAGTTTTTGTAATTTTTGGGTGCTCGCAGATCATTGCATGGTGCAGTTAGTGAAACCTAATCTCCTTGGTAATAGGAAAGAGTTCCTTAACAGGTTTGTTAATCCTATTACCAATGGACAGTTTGAAGATTCAACTGCCCATGATGTAAGATGCATGAAAAGGAGAGCTCACGTTCTTCATAAAACACTTGAGGGATCTGTTCAGGTTGTTATTATTTTTATTTACTCTTTGTCATATTTTCTATCTTCGGTACTAATGGTACTACTTTTGTATCTCTCTGTAGCGGTTTGATTACTCTGTTTTGACTCCATTTTTGCCTCCAAAAGAGGAGTATGTGATATCCATTCGAATCTCAGATTTGCAAGAGAAACTTTACAAACATTACTTAGAGCATTTCTCAAGCAGAGGTTACCAGGGTAAAGGAGCGCAGTTGTTTGCTGATTTCCAGAGTTTACAGAAGATTTGGACTCATCCTCGAGTCTTGAAAATGTCTGCTGAACGGAATGATCTAAAAGCAGAAAAAGAGGTAATGGATTGCTTCTTTTGTAAATCCTGTCACTATGTTGTTAAACATTATATTATTTGCTTTTTATCTAACACATCTATTTTTCTCAACAGGATGAAGAGATGAGAGATTTTATTGATGATGGAGATGAAAGTGATAGTAATACTACTGAAATATCAGCTTCGTCGAAGTCGTCTGATGATGATGATGTAGTATGCCTCAGTGATGGATCAAATAAACAGAAGAAGAAATCAAAAGAATCGAAGAACGTTGGGAGGAAGACCAGGTCAAACAAAACTGAAGATATTGAAGGTCTGATTTTCCGTACTCTTTTAATTTACCGTAACTGTTACACAGCTTGATTTTCTGTATTTATTGTGTATTCCTCTATGGCTTTAATGAGGAAAGACTTGAAGGTTGATATGTTTGTTTGGTTTTAGACCCTGAACCTCCCGCACCAACAAAGCATGGAGAGTGGTGGGAGACTTTCGTCCAAGAGAGTGATCTGGAAGACCTGAGAGCTAGCCCTAAGATACAGATACTGTTTTCTATTCTCAAGGACTGTGAAGAAAAGAAAGAGAAACTGTAAGTACATGTAAACAGTTATTATTTAAGTGGAGCAGTTTATTTCCAGCTTGAAGTAGTCCCTTAGGTACCATGTTGTTGAGTGGAGGATTGCAAGTCCTTTGATTTCGCAAATATCCTTTCTACATGATGGCTGTGCTATTACTGCCTGAAATGCAAAAAGTTTTCACAATTATTCTGTGATGAAATATAATGTACTTTTTAAACTTGCAGGCTCGTTTTTAGTCAATCGTTATTTTCATTGGACATTATTGAGTATTTTTTGGCAAAAATTGATACTGCAACAAAGAACGATGATGTCAATGAGCTCGTTGACGGTCATCGCGGGTCTTGGTCACTAGGCAAAGATTATTTCCGTCTAGATGGTTCAACTCCAACTGAAACACGTAGTACCTCGTGTAACATTTTTAACAGAACAAGTAATCTTAGGTAACACTGTTCAATGATTTTACCATCCATTTATCTTCATAAGTGCAAACTAAATTCTAATAGCTTTTTACTTTGCAGAGCAAGACTGTTTTTGATTTCAACTCGAGCTGGTGGTCTTGGAATCAACCTTGTGGCTGCTAACAGAGTTATAATATTTGATGCATCCTGGAATCCATCTCATGATGTGCAGAGTATTTTTAGGGTCTATCGTTTTGGACAAAAAAAGCCTTGCTTTATCTACAGATTCCTTGCTCAGGTATCATAATCATTTTAGAAATAATTGTTCCTTTGTAATCAGAATTTTAAATACCAGTTATCTATCTGTCTTTCTGTTTCAGGGTACAATGGAAGAGAAAATTTATGAGGGACAGGTCACCAAATTGTCATTAGCTGGTCGAGTTGTAGATGAACACCAGATTGAGAGATATTATAAAATGGCAGACCTGCAGGAATTGTATCAGTTCACTCCAGCAGACCGTTCTACATTTGAGTCACCAAAACTCCCAAAGGTTAGTGTGCTTCGGCCTAACATCAGTGGTCAGTGAATGTGTTTAGTGCAGTTATGTGTGTGGCCCATTTATTATGCTCAAGAAAAAGTCAAGAAAGTATTAATCAAAATTCTTTTATTGTTTTAGGATCGATTGTTTGCTGAAATTCTAAAACAACATGCTGCATTAATTGTGAAATACCATGAGCATGACTCTCTTCTAGAAAACAAGGAAGAAGAAGAGCTAAGTGAAAAAGAAAGGAAAAAAGCATGGGAAGATTATGAAAAGGAGAAGAAGGGACCAGAGTCGTGTAAGAAATTGTGTTGTTTGCTCGTCTTAAACACTTTTATTCTTAAATTTTCATTTCATTTGTCTATTTTCTTTACAGCTTCAAAGCATCTGACATCACAATGCCCGCACTGCAAATTGGCATTAAAAAATTGGCTTACTTTTGAAAAACATGTTAAGAATTGTAGGGGGGTGAAAGAGAAAGACCCCAAAGATAAGACCCCACCTGAAGATGACGACAAAGAGAGAAAGTGAATCATATGCTTGACCTTATTCAAGGGAACTCGAGCATTGAGGGAACACATGGAGGTTTACCAGCCAAAAAAAGGGCCAAGTCATGTATGTAGGGACGTATGTAGGCCTACGTACACCGGATGAGTATCGGTGTACAAGTGGTGCCGAAGAACAATGGCGAGCGAGTACCCCCGGTGGAGGTTTCTGAGGACGCTTTTGACGCGTGGTTGGATGCTTGCAGCGTCTAAGGGTAATATTATGCCAAACCACTGTTAACCAAAGACCCTTTAGTCATTAAGCACTGTTCTGGCAACATTTTCATTAATATTGTGACTTCATTTGTATCACAGATGTTTTATTTTTTCCTATTTTTTCATAAAAATATATATATATGTAATATTCCATTAAGGAGATTTTTGAAATCATCATCAGAGCATGTTACAGAAGAATATACTTGCCATTTCTAGTTTTAAGTATAATTTACCTTAGGTAAACTTCAGCTGAAGTATTTCTTCTATCCGTCCTTGTCTTGTTAGTTAGTTATTTTGGAGGAAAAGAATAATCAATGAAATGAGTCATGGCAGAAAAACAACAGAGAACAGAGTATCATGTCATTGGTATGCAAAGCCTGGTTGTATTATATGTGTTGTGCTGGAACGAATGCTGTGATATGTCCTCTCCTATTGTTTTTCTGCTGTGTTAAATTGTCATTAGTATAAGGTGATGATTCTTTTGTAAAGTAAGTTAATGGTGTTGAATGTAAATGCCATTGTTAATGAGTGGTAGGGAAACCAGTTGTGCAGCCTGACATAATACTGTTACTGTTCTTGGTGGTTTTCCTGCACATTGTGCTAATACATTAGCACAGCAGAAAAACAATGGAGAACAGAGTGTCATGTCATTGGTGCGCAAAGCCTGGTTGTATTATATGTGGTATGCTGGAACGAATGCTGTGATATGTCCTGTCCTATTGTTTTTCTGCTGTGTTAACTTGTCATTAGCATAATTGTTATTCTCCTGAAATTATTAATCTATACGGGTATAAATGTTACTTCCAATAATTATGTCTTAGACTGAGTAGCTTTTTAGTTTCATATTAAAAGACTGAAATATTCCAACAAATAATTTATTATTCCATTCATTCCAGCTACAGTTAATCTTCAATGTATGACAGAACATCAGTTAGCTGTTGAAATTGGGCATTTACGCTTAGGCAGAGGTTCCACAGATACCTCAACAGGACTTTCACTCACTTCTGAACTATTACCTTTCCTAAATTTCATACCTAACTTACTGGAAACATGTATAAGTCTATTTTTGTTCAGAAATTGTGACACATTAGGATTTGTACTTCCTCCACCACCTGCTCTCTGCTTAGGGGAGGCTGGGGCACCTGGAGACATTTCGCCTATTTTCGCCTATAACTCAGTGGATTTTAGAGTTAGGATCGCGTTTGTGGGATGAGATGAGAGCCCTGGGTTCGCAAAGTATAAATCCCTTTCGAGTTTGAGAAAATTTGAAACCATTTTCTCCGCATAAAAGAATTGTATTGGAAGCTTTCATTAGGTGTGTTAAAAACTGTACTGGAGCTATCCGCCGCCTCGCTACGAGATTTGAGGATGGTCGCAAAGGAGAGATTTATGAGTTTTTATTGCGGTACGGGGAGACGGCCCGAGGCTGGGGGGACTGCTACTTACTCGGCCCGCCTCGCGGCTAACAATGAGGCTGGGGCTGGCTGGGCGACGCGCGGCCGCCCGGCCGCCACGGACGCGGGCTCCCCCTAGCAGCGCCACCATGTGGTATTTTCATTCTTTCACTTCTTACCGCTGATTTTCTATATCCTATACCTTGTTGAGAGTTCAAGCTGATGACACCTTACATCACTATACTTATCTGTTATGTATATTCTCATTCCTATTAGTAAGGTATCATCTGCTAAAAACTGACGAGAGTGTGTCTGTGCGAGCCCGTCTGTTGTGGGTCTGTGTGCGTGTCTGTGGTCTGTGCCTGCACACGTGTGTGTGTGTGTGTGTGTGTGTGTGTGTCGTGTGTGTGTCTGTGCGTGCACGAGTGGTGGTGCACGGCCCCCGACGGCCCCTCACGAAAGGGGACGCCTCTCTGACACCATGTCCACATGGCGGCGAAGCAAGCACGGCTGCTGTCGGGCCGGGGGAGAGCGCAGAGCTCTCTGCAGCGCATTAAGGAAAACAATTTCCTCCTCCACTTATTTCGTGTTCCATTTCTCTCCTCCTCTTTTTCGTTATTTGTGTTCTTGTCCATTCATCCCCTTCCCTCGCGTTCCTCGCTTCATGCAGCACGCTGCGCCGGGGACATGGCGGCGGACGGGAACCGGAGCTGAGCGACCAAGTGAAGTGATCGTCAAGACTCTAAAAGAACACGAGCGTTCAGTTAATAGTCAGAGCCACCACGGAGGGCCGCCGCCTGCGAGCCTCAGGGTAGGCCAACCCGCGGTACAAGCATGTACTGTGTTGCCTACCTGTAAGGCGCTCCGAGAGCTCTTAGGCAGGGCAGACCTTGTCATTTTTTGCACCGGAGATTTACTTTCTGGATGGAAACGAGTTACACGAGGAGAAGGATTGAAGGAAGCGTTAAATTGTGAGAAGTATCGAGCACATGTGAGAATGCCATATGTATATATCGACGTGTCCGGCGAACAAAGGCGGATCTGGGCGCGACCTATTAACAAAGGCGCATCTGTTTCGGCGACAAGTAAGAAGGGCGCATCTGTTTTTCGGGAGATTCACGAAGGTAAACTTTGAATGCTCCTCATAACTGCAAGAATTGAGCTATCGATTTGGATGTTAGCCCATTTTATTCCTCGTTCCTTCATTATTATATGCTGCTCTTTTCACCTCTGTAGGTCTTCTCTACGAATAACGGGAAGCAATAATCAAAGCTTAGCCTCGCGATTCTGACGAAAAGCAGATGCGCCCTTCTTACTTGTCGCCGAAACAGATGCGCCTTTGTTAATAGGTCGCGCCCAGATCCGCCTTTGTTCACCGGACGCGTCGATATGGTCACTTACAGATTCCACTCTCCGTGGAAAGCCATTCTAACAAAGTGAATGTAATTTGGATCTCGTTCGCCCCCGCAACGGCTGTTGGTCCGTCACACATCATTGGCAGCCCAGTATGAGAAATCGCGCGCGCCGCTCTCATCAGCGGGTCGGCCACCTGGCGGAGACAGCCAGATGAGAAGGAGCGAGGCCGTCTTGACCTTGACAAGGGCTCGATGCGGCGGGTAGGACGGCGAAAGGGCTCCTCCGGGACGGCCGAGGACGCTCGCACTCCCGCTCAGGGGGACACTTACTGGCGGCGGAGACTTTGCGGCCGGCGGCAGGACGGGGCGGGGTGGGTGGCCGAGGGCCGCACGCCCACATATCCCGATCAAGCCAGGGGTGTGGCTACGGCTGGACGTGCCGTACCGCGTGGACGTGGGCAGGTCAGGGGGCCGCCCCGCCCCGCTCCGCCCCCGCTCTACCGCAAGGGTGTAGCCAGCGCGGTGCCATTCATCAGCTTTATGGAGTTTGCAAACACGGGTGCATGACGCGGCGCGGCGGGGCGTGCAGCGCGCACACATCACGGTGCTACACTTTGCCCCCCCAACACATTTCGGCGCGGTGGCCATCCGCGACCACCCAACTGTCGTCCGTTTGTTTTGGCGCGCCGCGCTCGAACGTGATTGTGAATAATGAATGCTATATACAATTAGGAGAGCGGGGACAGAGAGCGGGCGCGTGAGCGGGACCGAGAGCGTCGGGAGCGGGCCGAGCCGAGCCGAAGGGCTCTTCGGGTCCTGATCCGAGCCGAGCCGGAGAGCCGGAGCCTAGCCGGAGCCTAGTCGAGCCCGGCTCCGGCTCCGCTCACGCTCACGCTCTCGGCCCCGCTCTCCTAATTGTATATAGCAGAAGATAGGTCGGGTCGGGCGGCAGCATGGTTCTGAGTGGCGGGGCGTGGCGGGTGAGGCAGGAACGCCTCGCGGAACCAACCATCACCATGTCGGGACGGCGGCGCTCTCCACGGCGGGCGAGGGCGCCAGGGCCGACGCGTCCCGGCGGTGCTGGTGGCGGCGGCGGCGGTACGGTCGTTGACGTCGCCCAGGAGATAAAACTGGGCAGCTCGCCGGGATCATAGCCGATACTTCTCCGTGCGGGGAAGGGCTGGGGTATGCGGGCAGGGCGAGGTGGCTGGCGTCTCCGTCTCCCCGCCGAGGCGGCGCGCCCACGACCCTCCTCTGACACGGACTGTTCACAGGGTTGATGGCCGACGGTCTAACGCGCCAAGTGCCTCGCCGTCGACGTGCCAGCCTCGCGCGGCGAGGTGTCGAGGACGACGGGTCGGAGTGGAGCGGGGAGGCGGGCGGGCGGCGGGAGGGGCAATAAAAACAAGCGATGGTATTTGAACAGGTGAGGGTGAGCAGTCCCCGGAGGCAGCTCTGGCGCGGGGAGCCCAAGGGCCGCCAGCCCCAGGGCCAGGGCCCAGCTCCAGGGGCCCAGCAAGCAGCCCAGCCAGCCGCTTGTCTGCCGACTCTTCCGACTGATGGCTCCCGACTGGCCGAGCGTCGTCTGCTAGACGCGCCAACGTTTTTCCTTTGTCTTCCACATAAATCACTCATCCGCAAGCGGAGAAGGCAGTGGCGGCGCGGGGGTTGGGCGAGAGAAAGCAGCAGGCTGGTCGGCCGCCGGGAGGGCGAGAGGGAGCGCGCAACACTTTTGTTCCTCTTTTATGCTCCTAGCTTCCCTCGCCGGGCCGGGCCGGGGCCCCTCCATCGAAAGGCGCGAAGCGTTTACACTCTGGCCTCATGCGGCGCCTCCTTCCGCTGCGCTCAGCGCGGCTCGGCGCTCCTGTGCTGTGTTGCCCTCCGGCCGGAAGGAGCCAGCTCACGGTCCGCCCCGCCCCGCCCCGCTCCGCCGGTACCGCAATAGCCCCTCGCCCCTCTGTCTACCTCGGCACTTTCACCATTATCGTGTCACCAGCAAATCTGCTCCGAGTACAAAGTTGAGCGTAGTAGAAATTCGGTCTTGACGCTAAGATAATGAGTGTATTCTTTTCGACCCGTGTAGGCCGCAGGCGAAAAACGCGGAGAGACTTTAGTAAATGGAAAAACACGAGAAAGCCTACTGCAGAGAGGGCAGAGAAGCAGAAGAGAGGCACGTCTATTGGGAAGGCCCAGCCCGTCGACCCATATGAACAGCGAACGTAAACATGGTCCAACACAAGGGAGAGAGAGAGAGAAAAAAAGGGGCGGGCGGACGAGTGAGGGGTGCTAAGTGCAGTCACCTGGACAACTTCACCCATCCTACCAGGGATAGGCTCGCACCTGGACTTGCCGTGGTCATTAGCGGGAGGAAAGGGGGACGAGCGCGATAAAAGAAAGGCCGCTGGCCCAACGCAAAGATAGAGTTGCTAAAGCTTGAGGCCCCGCGTTCCCATTCGCACTGCCCAGCTCTAAGCGAATGGGAACGCGGGGCGTCAAGCCTTAGCAACTCTATCTTTGCGCTTGGCCAGTAAAACGAGTTGTCCTCAGGTCAGAGCGCTTGGAAAAAACGTGGAGTACCTACCCGAGCAGAGTGTATTGTAATGCATTTACTTCTCCACTTCACTGACCTTCTCCCGCTCCCCACCCCGACCTCTTCATACATCCTACACACCCACAGCAACTTCCACGTCTCCTTTATCTCTGCATCTCTCTCTTGCTTCTTACAGGAGAATGCAGAGCAAGAGGAAGGAGAAAACAAACAGAAGGCCCCACTATTTCTCGTACTGGACCGACGGCCCGGGGTCACCTTATTGCCAGGTGACCCTCGCATTCTTCTTCCATTCCAGCGCGGCTCCATGAGAGGCTCGGGCCGGCGGTGGAACCGAGGAGGACAGAGACAGGGGCGAGTCTTTACGGGTCGAGTGAGAGAGAGAGCACTGGTAAAACAAATGTATAGTTCTATACTTTTCTTGAACTATAGTTGAACTGTACATGACAAAGTGAGTAAATGTTCAACTATGCATGACGAAGTGTGTAAATGGACAAATATACATTACCAGATGTATAGTTCTATACACAGAGCATTGTGTTTACCCTTGAAATAGGACTAAAGTAAACAT